ACTTCATGACAATATAAAGGTTCAGCTGGGACTACAAGCAAGGATTATTTCCTGTCTTGTCATGGGCTATATGGGCTATGGCAATGATAGGCCATTCTTTACAGACATTTCTAGTGATTCTTTTCTTTCAATCATCTTTACAAATTTAGTTCCCCTGTGCACAAGCATTCAGCCTTCAGAATCAATTGGGGCAGTGACGTAAGATTATGGGTGGTCTACACTTCCCCTTATCAATATATATGGTGCCGTGATTTACAAAATAATATGTATGCCACTTCTTAGTCGATCACAGTGGCCGCGGAGCCTAAGGCATGAACCGTCTTCGCCCGCTCGAACACTGGGATCGTGGGTTCGAATCCCACTCGAGGCATGTATATTTTTGTGCATTTTTTCCGTGTTTGTGTTGTTTTGTGTTCAGGTAGCGGCCTTACAATGGGCTGATACCCCATCCAAGGAGTCCTAACAAGTGTGTAAAATGATTAAGAAACTGAAAAAATAGACAAGGTTCAACAAATATACCTGTAGAGCCATAGATAGATAGATGTCACTTGTTACCCTTTCAGTTTTGCAGTCTTCGGTTTCATCCCTTTGGATTAGCGTATGTTTAAGTTAATTCCAACACGAAAGCATTCTGCATCATTATTTCCCGTTATCCACGTTTCACTCCCCAAATATATATTTTATTTTGATACAATATTGTGGTTTTGAAATTATTTTTTACTACTCCAGATAAGCTATACACACACATATGTATAACATACATAAAATGTATTGAGTGTGTAGTTATGAAAGTGATATTTCTTCTACTGATCAAATATTTTGCATCGAAATTAATTATAAATCAACTTATTCAATAATGGGATCATTTGTACATATTTGAATTATTCAGCAGAAGAAGACAGACTCTTACAAATGACGTTCTCTATTGATATGTTGTCTGAGGACTACGTTATACTGAACATTGGTTTGATTCGAATGAACTGTTTGAGAAATTGCATCACCCAAGCAATTGTACACATTTCAGAAACAATTTTTTTTTTTTTAGGAGGAGTTGATTATCAAGTCTAAAGACATATACGACAGAAAGACGCGCACTAACTTTCCTACTTCTGCCTCAGTTTTGCTATTCTAAAATGCCTTTCAGACGCTGTAGTTCTCTACTCTGATGGGCCTTTGAGGAACATGGAGTACTTAATAAGGTCACATTTGTATGGAATATATAGTAACAATATGGCGATGAAGCGAATTCTGGATTTACTATTCCGTGATTTAGCTGTAGCTATTGCCATTTCATGCCCCCAGAATTTTGTGTGGAACATGTGTGTTGGGCGTATATGGCTAATATTGTGTCCGCAATTTGCAAAGTTGAAAATGTAATCTTACAAATTTCTTGAAATGAAAATATATGGCAGTATTTCAAGTATTCATAAATCTAGATTGCTAAGCTGCATAATTATTAATACTACATGATTTCCGTTAGCCCTTCTGTTCACATGGAAGGATTATCAGAAGACGCACAAATTATTCCCGCAATTTACTGTTAACTGAAAAGACTGTGCCTATGTTTCAGGATATTCTTTGAGCTCAGGAAGATTCCTGAGTACGTCACTTTCTCACATTTATGTGGCCGCATCACCAAGAAATGCTGACTTTAAAGGAAAGGTATGTAATTTGCTGAAATGTTCCATCCATATAAATTAGATTTACTGCTTGCGCTGGATCAAGCCTAACTTTATTTTTACACAAATTTATCTACAGAAAGCCTAAGAAGTAGCGCTGCTCTTTCCATTATATGTTTCTAAGTATTGATATGTCATACCTGTATATCGAACTTAAAAAAAATATTTATGCTTCGATAAAGGAGAATTCCCATTACCACGAGGAACTTGTGACCGATGATCTAGCCGTGGTGGTATATGCAACTGTGTTACCGAAACATATCTGTGGATCAGTATTTCAACGGGCAAATGAATAGACGAAAATATGTGGCAGTTTTATGAGACTGGTCTATGCCACAACTAACTGTCTGAACACACGTGATATATAATTGCTTTAAGATGGGACATCTGTCAGTCTTGAATTCCTGTTTCTGACAAGGATTGTCCCTGAAATATGGATCTGTATGGCACAGCACCTTTACTTGCACCAGTGGAGTGGCCACCAGATGGCTGACCACTCTTCATATGACAACGCTTGGGAGCAAACGTAAGTTACCTCTGCGAATAATTAACCACCACACTATGGAGACGTATGGAGGGCGGAGGTAATAATTCACGCTCTATTCATATCGAGCAAGTTCACTCAGGAAGCAAAAATTTGTAGTTCTATTAGGAAGGTTCTCAGTTCGAATCTCTGCCGGGACATTTACCATCCTGATTCAGAATTTTCACGACCTTCCTCAGTCCCTACATGCAAATGCTGGGATAGTACCTTGAACTAAGCCACAGCCACGTCTATTCACATCCGTTACAATTCACTGTCATCAATAATTCGACGCTATAGCGTCCGAGTTACCGACGGCGTCGTCAAATAGCCCACAAATGAATGGATATATTCATCCATTCTTAACCTCAGTGCTGGATGAAGAGGAATGCCCCAGCCGCTCTACGCTTTGGGGAAACAACATTGCTTTAGCCACTGGGCAAGAGGCGCAATGGGCCCCATAGGCGGTCTGTGCAGTGTGAAGAAGCGAAACGCCTTTATCCCTGACCAGAATCTAACCCACATTTCATGGCCATTCAGTCCATGTTGTAGTGACTATACGGACTGACCTTTCCCAGCCTGGACAAGTTATTGTGGAGGTCCTCGAAAGAAGACTTGTCCAGACTCCCATAGAGATCAGAAGACGTAAAACCCTAGCGCACTTTTATACTTGCACGCCTCACGCTACATGATACATGCCAGGCGTGTGTATTAACATTGTTTAAATGGGACCATTTTATGCTTACCTGCTCTCGTCGAGCGGTCACTTTCTGCCGCCTGGCATGCGACTGAGGCGTGTCGGGACAGGCGTGCGGCCATCACCGCCTAGCGTGTCCCGCCACGCGGGTGGGACCAATACCATACGGGAGTTTTTATATAGTTGACGCTTCACGCAAAGCGGTTCGGTTCGGTTCAGTTCAGTTTAGCTTGTAGTCTTGCAAAGTGCTAGCTTGGAGAATTGATGCAATTGATACAGAGTGCTGATTAGTGAAGTGCAGTCTACACCTATGTTATGGAACCCAGGAAAGGAAGACTACAAAAACTGAGGTCTGCGGAATAAAGCGTGGGAAGAGATCTGTAGCAGTATCATCCCTATATTTGATGAAGCTGATGACAATCTAAAGAAAAAATTAGGTGAGTTCTTATTTTCTATTTGGTTCCTTGTTTATTTAATTTACAGGCAATTGCACTGATCTTGTTTTTGTTACATGACGAAATTACAAACCACAACACATAATACACTTATAATTAATTCTTCATAGTTTAAATCATTGATTCCTGCCACGGCACACTACCAACACCCAAGAAGTACTGTGAAAAATTGTCCCTTATTGAAGCATTCGACTGACCACCTCCTCTGTTGCATAGCCCTTGTCTGAAATCTTCGAACCCCACCACTGTCAGTGTGTCTTCATAATCGAAACCGTCTCTGACTCTAATGAAGTTGTGCAGAACACAACAGGCTTTTACAATGTCCACAGCAAGATTTGTTTCAACGTTTAAAGGGCGATGGAAAATTCGCCATTTGTTGCTTAGAATCCCGAAAGTACACTCAACATATCTTCGAGCCCGGGTCAACCGATAGTTGAATACTCTCTTGTTGTGATTCAGATGTTTCCTGGAATAAGGTCTTAGCACATGTTCACTGAGAGAGAAAGCTTCATCTGCAACTAATACATGAGGCAGTATAGGGTTAACAGTTCCTGGTAGTGGCTTTGGTGGAGGGATGTCAAGCATTCCGTTAGTCNAGTATTTAACTACATTTCTTATAGATCCTTGTCCAGTATGTTCCAGTTTATAATTATCTTCTATAAATCTTTAAGACATCTATTACGTCTTTTTCAATAAAAGTTTGACACATCGCTAGGTGTCGTGACCCCAGATGTTGGTGGGGTGACTGATGTTGGCTGAGAAATAGCGTAATACTTAGTTGTGACGATATTCATTTGGCTAGCTGAGCGTGTATTCCAACCGCAGGGAGCGAGTACTCGCTACAGAAGGAATATTTATACAGCGTGATTCTAAATTATTGTCGGGTTTTCCGTAGCCTGTAATTTTCAAACCGGAAAGAACACCGTTTTAATTTTTTTTTTTACTGGCTCTACAGCCTCCTGGGGCCCTGGTCTCTGATCTTTCAGTTTCATGATCCTTTTGCAGACCGTAGGGCTCCTTTGACAATTGATCAGCTAATCGCAAGGCCTCTACCTGAGCACAGGAAAACACAAACACCGATAAAACATATACACATACCAAACATCCATGCCTTGTGTGGAATTTGAACCCATGATCCCGGCTTCAGAGCTAGCGAAGACAGTACATGCCTTAGACGACTCGGTTACCGTGACCAGCATTTAGACATCTTACGAGCCATGAAAAGTGCGCATGTTGAAGTTATTTAACAGTCTGCAGTACTGATTATACTAGTAATTAAACTTTTTGAGTAAACTATCATTTTACATAAGCAGTTATATTTCGTTATTTACGATTTGAAAAATAGAGGCCACGGAAATGCTGACAATAATTTAGACTCACTCTATATATACTTTACAAAGCCCGCGGACCTATGATATGCCTGCATAGTTTCTATTGACAACCAGACAACATGCTTTCGTCAGGTGAAATCATCGGGTTCCTATACTTTTCTCATATAGTGTAACAGTCCAACGTCACACACCCATGAAACGGTAGCGAATAAGAATTTACGCCAAAGTTAAGGCATGAACGTGGTTTTCTTCACGAGGATGAAAATTTTATTTGCCTAATTTTGTCTTCAATATATATGTTTTTTATAGGGAAGGTTTGCAGAGATAACAGGAGACAGGATGATACTGGGAAGTCGTCGGCATGGTGCCCGGTTTGGTATTGCTCTTGCTAACATTGGAGACCTGAACATGGATGGCTACGAAGGTAGGAAATATAAATATAGATGGACATTTCAAGAAAATATAAATATGAATGGAAATTTCTTACCTTGATAGTAAGTCCATCAACAGTACTTACGTATAGCACAATTAAAATATGGCATTTATTTCATCATGTTATTCTTTTGAAACCATGGTAAATGGTAAGGTTGACCACACTAACCATATAAATATAGTAGACATTCGTACAAATAAGATTCATTTTCCCGAATTCGTTTCATGCTCAGATTTTGCACATTTCTGGAAGAAAATACCTCTATGTCCACTGACTAAAAGATACGATGGGCTGCAGAGTCATTCCTGGTGGTGAGTCCAGTTTCCTGAGGTCTTTGTTTAATGTAAAGAAATATTGGAATTTCGTTTTTGGTCCACTTAATACATGTAACATTCCTACTCTGCAACAGGCCAAATGTTAACATAAATATAAGGTAAAACTATCCCTCTAAGAGGCCGCGAAGGACCACAGGGTTATGAGACGTCGAGGCTCCCAAATTTTCTAGACAATCGGTTCACAGATGGCGGTGAGGTTGTCAGCCTTACGCGCCGACTGCCCTTCAACCTAAGGAAAATTCCTTGTACTCATTTCTGTTAGACAGCCAGTAACAACAAAGAAGTGTACAAAATTAAAGGACTACAAAACAAAATCATAGAAATAGAACCACCTCGCACAACAAAAACAAAATTACGTGATCCAGTGTATGAGATGCCAGCAATACGGACATTCAAAATCGTATTGCAACAGAAATGCGGAGGTTCGCATAACACAACAGAGTGCAAGAAATCAAGGAACACCCCAGCTAAATGCGCACTGTGTGGAGGAGACCACCCTGCAAATTACAAAGGCTGTGAGCATTACCAGAGGCTAATCGCTGGCAACAACAAACCCATCACACAACGCACCGCGGCTACATCAACAAACACAAATATACCTCACAAAAACATACAACCCATAGTACACCCGCAGCGGCCAAATTACGCCGAAGTAACCAAACAAAGCTTAATCCAGACAGAAGACACACACAACATATTCTCTACTTTCCTAGACGAATTCAAAAACCTATTTAACCAGCTAATGCAACAGAACAGTATGATACTCAACATGCTAACCATGCTAATCAACAAACTTAACTAAAAAAAAAAACCGGCCGAGTTCCTACGAATAGCACAATGGAATGCCAATGGTCTCCCAAGCCACAAAGATGAAGTAGATTTATTCCTAACACAAAACCGAATTGACGTACTCCTCATCAGCGAAAATCACTTCACCAACAGACCGTACTTCAACATTCCGAGGTATAAGCTATNAGAATGAACATTTTTGAAAGATAAAACTGCCTCTCGAGTAGTGCTCAGCTCCATGGAGTTAGTTAGTTAATTAGTTAGTTTAAACTTCTAAATATAATGTATTTGTTTATGTGATAATTAAAATAATGTTTCAATAATCTGACCTTGGAGGTTTTAATTGTACTTTCTATGTCTATATGAAACAGAAAATAAGCTTACCTCAGAGTTACACAAAGTCTCTCCATTGGACTAATGGGCATGGAGTGGGTCCTTGTAATACGAAAATGACTTTCAACTTTCCCAAATAATTCGTCGAATGTTTTGGGGCTCATCCTAAAATAATTGAAGAACTTTATTTCATCTTCTCGTAAGTCAGCGTACAGGGTTATGAAAGCTCCTTTCAAGTCTCTTTGGATGTTGAGAGGATGAACACTGAAACGCCTTTTCTTCTTTTCTTTTCTTGCCATCTTCTCATAAAGGTATGCAGCAGCGACCGCTTTAGTTGCGAACCCTGCCATGGCACACGCTCGACTGACAAAACTATAAAATGGAAATTTTATACTTACACGCCACACGCCTGACTTCAAGCATGTGGCATGTGGCGTGTGGCATGCAAGTATAAAACAAGCCTAAGCATTTTAACATGTAGAAAGTAGTCAGCGTTACGTTCCAGCCGCTTTGCCCCGTAGGCAAATGTCCTTCCTGTCCGTCTGATTGGAGCCTAAGTAGGAAGGCCCCAAACCTGGTTGGGACGTGTGGTCAAGAGAAAAATTCATGTTCCTGACAGGAATCAAATCCCGATATTCAGCCCTTGCCAACCAATTGCCTTACTGAGTTACAGGAAACTAATGCCGAATACACAATAATTGATTTTTAAGTGAGAATGATGTATCGTAAATTATTACATACTTATCAGCAACCTTACAGAATTGTTGACGTCTTTAAGGTTCCTAAACACGAAATATTATTATTATTATTCTAATTTTCAACTTACTACTCTAAAACTTTATATATTGTTACGGAAATTAAATATTTATATATACAGCTGTTCAAAATCTACCATTTCAAGACAATTGTAACCACATTGAATATTTATATGAAAGATATTTTCTTCAAAATGACCTTCTGGCGTGCTCAGCTCAGATTTTAGAATTTGACTTGCATAGTTACATAGACTAATGCTACTGTGTTATGCTGCAGGTGTACGTTTTCGATTTCCCGCGCAGAAATGGCTATGACCTACAGTACATAAAAGATCTGGAAGGAACGCAAATGGGCGAGAATTTTGGAGGAGCCTTGTGCGTTGTGGATTTGAACGGGGACCTTCTAGACGACTTGGTGGTCGGAGCGCCTCAGTTTTCCCTTCAGGCAGCTAACTCGGCTCAGCTGGTCGGAGATGAGGGGCGCATTTACGTCTATATCAACGCTGATCACGTGAGTAAACCCCCGCAGCTGTCAATACCAAAGCAGCTACTCTCAGATAATTGGTTAACTGAGATTGTTAAAAAAAAAGTAAAGTAAAGTCATCCCTGTAACAGGCCGTAGAAGTCCATAGGGTTGTGAGATGTTGAGGTTCCCACATTTTCTGGACAATCGGCTCTTTGCCCCCAAGAACATTCCAAGAATATTTCTGGTACTTATTTCTGTTAGAGGCTGATTCGACGCCAGGGCCATAGTGTAACCGTTTTTCTTCGGTTCTGCTAGCCCCCGGTAGAGCAATTCGACTCCTCTCAGGGCGTGTTGACTGGCCACGACTTGGGTGATTAGTGGGGCTTTAGGCGTAGGGAAATCACCACAACACCAATTAAGTGTATGGAGTCTTTATTAAATTTGCACTAATTAAATAGAAACGGCCCGTATTGGTCCCCTTCACAGATTCGTGGATGTAGGCTTACTTGCTGTTCTGGGGACGCACACTTAATAGTTACCACAGGGCGTGTTTACGGGGATCCGAACACGTGTACCCCCGGTGAACGTAACTTTCAAAGTCTCTTTGCCAAGCACCCTCTGAATGGTAAATACTTGCCCTGGTTACCCCAAAATTCGGGCAAAGGACCTCCCACTTCAGACAATGATTGGCTGGACCGGGCAGACTGGGAGGTTTTTTATCATTCTCCTCCAATTAGGAAAGCGAATATCCACTAGTGTACCGTTTAGGGGTGAACTTTGCCACCTGCTGCGTGGCTG